AAATTTGTAGATAGTTTGTAGATAACTCATCCCTAGCCTTAGTAATAATAATTTTAAGTGACTGACTTGTTGATTTTAGTGTTATAACTGTCATATCAAAAGTTATATATATGTGCATATAAATAGTACATAAAGTACAGTTGGAAGCCTTAGTTTATATGTGATCACCTTTCTATAGTAAGTAAAAACAAAAGTCTGTTCAGATTTCATTCTTTGAAACAAATGACGAAGATGCTTAGTGATAGTTTGGGTTGTGATTGGGTTTTTTTTTGTTTTTTTTTTTTTGTTTTTTTTTTTTTTCGAGACAGGGTTTCTCTGTGCAGCTTTGCGCCTTTCCTGGAACTCGCTTTGGAGACCAGGCTGGCCTCGAACTCACAGAGATCCGCCTGGCTCTGCCTCCCGAGTGCTGGGATTAAAGGCGTGCGCCACCACCGCCCGGCGTGATTGGGTTTTTAAAAAATACTTGTGGTTAAATTTCTTGTGTGAAATCCTTTTATATTTTCAGTTACTTTTCCTACAGACCCCAACATCTTTTTTTAAAAGAACAGAGCTGGTGGTTTGATTCTGTAATCCCAACATTCAGGAGACTGAGGCTGGAGGATTACTACAAGTTAGAGCCTGCCTGGGCTTCATAGCAAGATTCCGTGTTTTTCTTTACTTTCTTTTCTTTTTTTTTTTAAAGGTAGTGTGTGGGGAGGGGGGAGAATGAGCCAGTTTCTCACCTTTCAATAGGGGTGTTTATAGCTAGGTAACTAGGTCACCGGAATGTGCTCACATATCTGATTGCATAAACACCACTTAGAATAGAACCAGGCTTCTCACCATGCCACCCAAGGTGACTCCTTATTCTGTCATTTCACCCTGCTTTCCTAGACATTCATGGTTATGTCTTTACCGTCATGGCCGACTCTTCCTGGGTGTGTAGTTCGTGTCTAGGTCACGACAACAGATTTCTCAGTGTCTTCCTGTGCTCTTTCCTCTGGTTTCCCATTTCCCCACCTTGGTATAGGGTTCATCACCCCTGGACCAAGGAGTCTAACTGACCTCTCTGCAGCTCCTCCCACTCATGACCTTGCATGGTACTCACTGAAATCCCCCTTACCCAGCTCCCAACTTCACCTGCAGCTGCCGAAGAGAAGCAGTCAAAGTGGACATTTCTCACTGCTCTCTACATGCCCTGTCTGTACAGCCAGCCTCTTGCTGGGAAGAGTAGTTGCCCCCCCCACCGCCATCCCCCCACCCCACCCCCACCCCCACCTTTCCTCCAACCCAAGCTCAAACCTACCTTTCTGTTCTTCCTGTTTTCCCAGATAGTGTTGACTGGCTGCGCTCCCATTTCTACCCATCAGTGCTGACCCTCTGATACCACTGCATCATTCCCTTTTCTCTGTGTAGTAAGAAAATCCATGCCCTTGATGGACAAGGAGTCCATAAAACCCCCAGTACCCCCAGCTACCTTGATAGAAACTAATGAACTAAGGGGTGAAGGTGGACTTTGACATGACTGTGGTGATACTTTATTTGTGCACCCCAATAAAGCTTATCTGGGGATCAGAGGAAAAAGCCAGCCACTACATTAAACTTAGAGGTCAGGCAGTGGTAGCACACACTCTTAATACTAGTATTCAGGAGGCAGAGATTCATCCACATCCCTGTGAGTACAAGGCCACAGCGGGAACAGAGCCAGGTGTGGTGGCACACGCCTTTAATTCCCAGCACTAACTACAGAGGTCTGGAGGTCTGTACAGACAGACAGGAAGTGATGTAGCTGGGCAGAGAAAGGAAGTGAGATGGCAGAGCAGAAAGGCATATGGGAGTGAGTACACAGGAAGTAGGTCTCTCTGGAGGCTGAGGAGTTGGTGAGGTGAGGTTGGCTGTGACTTGTTCTATTCCTCTGATCTCTCAGTTTTCACCCCAATATCTGGCTCCGGGTTTTTTATGAATAAGACGGTTTAGCAATTTGTCTTTCACATAACTGTTGTGGAATATTTGTTTAACTATGCAAAGATGTGTTGCATTTGTTTAATTATGTAAAGATGTGTTGCTATTTTACCTGGCCTGCCTAAGGCACCTAATTGGTCTAATAAAAAGCTGAACAGCCAGTATCGAGGGAGGAGGTATAGAAGGGATTTCCTAGCAAGGAGAGTAAGGAGGAGGAGGAGGAATTTAGGCATGAAAAGAAAGAAAAAGAGACACCAGGGAGATCCCAAGGTGGGGGTGAGGGGCAGCCAGCCACAGAGGAAGCAGAAAAATAGGACATACAGAATGAAAGAAAGGTAAAAAGCCCTGAGGCAAAATGTAGATGAAGAGAAACAGGTTAAATTAAATTAAAAGAGCCTAAGCTAAGCATTCATAATTAATAATAAGTCTCCGTGACTATTTGGGAGCTGGTTGGTAGCCCAAAGAAAATTCTAACTGTACATGACCCAAATCTGGATTTGAATTCAGTTTCTACCTGGCTATATTTCTATTCCCTCATATAAAATGAGCAGGATTATAACCCTTTCACAGAAGTTTTGAAAAGATCAAATAAGACAAATATGTGAAATGTGTTTTGTGTGATGTCTGACGTAATAAATAATAAGTGGCAGTGATTCTATGGTGATTATGATCACGCCAATGGCTCGGCTAATGTTTGTTGGTCATCATGAGCCACCAAGAATTGTATTTATCCCTCTTCATTGTTCAGATGATTACAACTATGGTATGATCACAGGATCTGAGTCTCTGTGCATGCATGTGTGTTCATAGGTGCCTGTGTACATGTGTATGTGTATGGAGGCGGGGCTCAGCACTGGATGTCTTTTTTAGTTGCTGTCCACTCTGTTTTATGGGACAGAAGTCTCCTCACTCGGTTACACTGGCTGGCCAGCGAGCTCAGGGATCTGGCTGTCTCAACCTCCACCCTGCCCCACTGCTCCGTGTAGCTATCTGTGCTAGCTAGTCTTATGTCAGCTTGACACAAGTTAAAGTCATCTGACAGTCAGTTAAGAAAATGCCTCCATAGAAGGAGTAGATTGGACAAAAGGGTACGCTGTGTGACACACCGCTCCCAGTGCCACCAGGGTGGATGAAGAAGTGCTGGAGAGGGGGGAAAGAAGGAGAAATGAGGAGGGTTTTATTGTTGTTGTTTATTTGTTTGCTTGCTTTATTTTGTTTTAATTTTCTTTTGGGGAGGCACTGCAGGGGTGGGGGAGAATATGGGGGGCAGGAGGTAAGCAGAATTAGCGTGCATGATGTGAAATTCCCAAAGAATCAATAAAGAAATTATGTAAAAAAAACAATGCCTCCATAAGATCCCGGTTATAGGCAAGCCTGTAAGGCACTTTCTAATTAGTGGTTGATGGAGGGCCCAGCCCATTGTGGGTGGGGCCATCCCCAGACAGAGAGTTCTGGTTCCATAAGAAAGCAGACCAAGCAAGCCACAAGGATCGAACCAGTAAGCAGCACCCCTCCATAGCTTCAGCATCAGCTCTGCCTCCAGGTTCCTGCCCTGTCTGAGTTCCTGACTTCCTTCAGTGATGGACTGTCACCTGGAAGTGTGAGCCAAACAAACCCTTCCCTCACCAGGTTGCCTTGCTCATGGTGTTTCATCGCAGCAACAGAAACCCTAACTAAGGCAGTATCAGCAAGCTATGGGGAACTTGACTAGAGGATGTTTGGTTGTTTAGAAAAAGGGCTCATTTCAGGAAACATATCCTCATTCCCTCCTCCTCCACCCCTCCTCCTTCTTTATTTTGAACCCAGGACCTCATACATGGTATGCAGCAAGAAACATTTTTATAGCACAAAATACTATGTTCTTACACAAAGAGAGTAAAATGCATCAGGTGAGAGATTTAAGAAAAATGAGTCTTTTACATCCCATATCAAGCTTTCGTCATTTGACTCCATGGTGGCACACACTTACAATCCCAGCAGCTGGTAGGCTTAAGCAGAGTCATCATGAGTGTGAGGTCAGCCTGGCTTACACAGTGAGATCTGTCTCAAATAAAACAGCAATAACAAAAAGTATCTTTTTATTTAAATATAAGTTAATCTATCCCAGAAATTGAAATAGCTTATAAAAAAAATGAAACTTAAATTATTTTAAAAATTTAGAAGAGAACTAAATGTTTTAAAACTTGTATCTTGGGGCTGAGGAAATGGCTCAGTGGGTAAGGTGCTTGCCATGCAGCATAGGGACCTGAGTTTGGGTCCCTGGAGCCCACATTGAAAGGGTGTGGTAGGACATATCTGTAGCCTCAGAGCTGGGGATATTGGGGGGACAGGCTGACTAGACAGTCATTCTAGCCAAATTGGTGAGTGCCAGGTTTAGTGAGATACTCTATCTTAAAATATAAAGTCTAGAGTGATGGATGGAGGGGCTGGTTAAGAGCATGCTCCTCTTCCAGAGGTCCTGAGTTCAATTCCCAGCGACGGTATGGTGGCTCACAACCATCTATAGTAGGATCTGATGCCCTCTTCTGGCTTAAAGGCATACATGCAGCTAGAGCAATCATCTACATAAAATAAATAAATAAATCTTAAAAAAACAAAAAACAAAAAACACCAAAAAAAAAAAAAAAAACCAGAATAGCGTGATAGAGGGAGACAGCTGATATTGACATGTCCACATAAAAAAACATACATACACAGGTGTGCACTCACGTGCTCGCACACATTTCTGCCAGTAGAGTATCAGAATGTTGCCCTGTTCTGAAGTTAACAGAAGGCAGTAGGTTTCTCCTCAGAAGAACGTGTCGTACCATATCAGCCTGCAGACAGTCATGTACTGGAATGTTCTGAGGACGTGACTAGCACAGTCATTTCCCAAAGGTGGCTGGCTTATCCCACAGCCAGATTTAAACAGAAAGCTGTGGGAGTTGCAGGGTGGGACTTAGCACATGGAGTCACTCTGTACGACGTGATCTAGGGTGTGAGACGGAGAGCCCAGCCACGTGGGCTCTGCCTTCCTACTGTATGCCAACCGTGATTTGCTGTCTTTTCCCCCTTAACAGGGATCACATGCAGTGGTCTCAAGAGGAAGAAGCAGCAGCCAGAAAAAAAGTAGAGGAAAACTCAACCACACGAGTTGCTCCAGAAGAACAAGGTAAAGCTGGGCTCCCTCCCCATCACGTCTCTGCACTGGACAGTTCTCAGCTGACATCCCAGCCAGGCGACCCACTTACTCCCTCTGGTGGGATTCCAGTTCTCCCCTTGGAGTGGGACCCAAATTAATGAAATAAATTATGTATTCACCCTGTAATTGGTCTTTTGGTAGTCGTATTGCTTTTTGTGGGAGATATACATATGGGTGGCATTTTAAGCAAGATATGAAAATATGACTTTAAAATCTCCCTCTAACCATGCCACTTCAGTGTGTTTTTGTGCATTTCACTTGCTAGAAACTTCCAACAAATTCATAAACTTGAAGTAAAAAGAAAAAAATCATATCAAAATATTGGTGGCCTTTTGGGATAAGGGAGAGAGAAAGTGAGAGAGAGAGAGAGAGAGAGAGAGAGAGAGAGAGAGAGAGAGAGAGAGAGAGAGAGAGAGAATGTGGGGGGTGGGGGGCACTCGTGTGGGGGGGTGGGGGTCAGAGGTCAATTTCAAGTGTCTTCCTCTTTCACTCTCCACCCTATTTTTTTGAGACAAGGTCTGCCACTGACCCTGGAGCTCACTGTGTCGGGTAGACTGCTGGACAGTGAGCTCTGTCTCCACCCCACCCCCAGTCCCAGCTCTGAGGTCACAGAAGCATGCCGCCACAGCTGGAATCCTAAGGGGTCTTCCTGCCTGTGCAGCAAGCTCTTCCCCACTGAACCAGCTCCCCAGCCCAGGAGAAGGTCTTAGTGGGGATCAAAAGCAATTACACTGAGAGGGTTTGCGTTCAGAGTTTAACTCAGGGAAGGCCCTGACAACTCCATAAATCACTTCTGAAGTTTGGTGTGGGCTACTGTTAAACTCCTAGAAAATCACAAGTGTTGAAAATGGTGCAGAGAAACAGGAACCCTTGTGTGCATTTGATGTGAATGGGACAGCCACCATGGAAACCGTTGTGAGACTCCTTAAAACTTAAAGAGCTTGGAGAGATGGTTCAGCAGTTAAGAGTGCTTGCTGTACTGGCTGCTCTTGCAGAGGACCCTGGTTCAGTTCCCAGCACCCACATGCTGCTAACGACTGCCTATAACTCCAGTTCCAGGAGACTAACACTCTCTTCTGACCTCCATGGGCACCCGGCGTGTATGTGGAGCACTTGCATATACTCAGGCAAACACTCACACAAATAAAATAAAACTTTTTTAAAGATTTAAAATAGTACTCCCCTGTCATCAGTTCACTTTTAGGATATATCCCAAAAGATTCAAAGCACACACTCAAAGAGATACATGCATTGCATGTTTACGGCAGCAGTCTCCATGATAAGCAAAAGAGAAACACAATCAAAACACAAGTGTTCAAAACAAGCAGTACTGTTAAAGAACATCCTGTTCATAAGTTAATGAAAAGTAAGTTTAGCCTTAGAGGAAAGAACAGTGCCATGCTAGTATCTGGGTAATAATGTAACGATGTCCAGATATTCTGGGGACATGGATTCAGCAGCCATATTTCCCAGAGGTGGCTGGGGCTACTGCAGATAAACAGGTAATAAAACATGCTACATGGTGGTGAGGCCAAAGACTGGGTAGGTGGAAAGGAGGAGCTATGTAATGGTGTTAGAGTTGGCATTTAGGATAGATTCCAGATGTGTTCACAACAGTGTCAACATACCTAACAGTATGAGACCATGCATTTAAGAATAGCTAAGATGCTCCATTTTATGTGTTTTGAGCCACAATTTTTAAAAATAGCACACTGAGGCCAGGCAGTGGTGGCACACGCCTTTAATCCTATCATTGAGGCAGAGGCAGGTGAATCTCTGTGAGTTCGAGGCCAACCTGGTTCTACAAAGTAAGTTCCAGGACAGCTAGAGCTGTTACATGGAGAAACCCTGTTTGAAACACTCCCCCCTCCAAATTAGCACACTGAAAATGTTTAGAAGAAAGTGGTCAGTGTCCATGGAACTGCATGATGGGGTTCCTAGTCACTCTACCTGACTGCTGTATACCATCTTCTACCTTATTCTTCTTAAAATGATTTCCTCTTTGAAACCTCTCCTTCCTCCCCTCCTTTGGTGTTTGCATGTATATGTGTGTAGGTATGTTCATGTACACGGGTGCACATGTGTGAGCATGTGCATGTGGAGACCAGAAGGCCGCCTAGAGTGCTGGTCCTCAGATGCTGGTCCTCTTTGCGGGGGAGGGGATCAGGCAGGGTTTCTCACTTGCCTAGGCCTCATCAAGGAGGCTGGGCTGGCAGCCAGGGAGCCCCAGGGCCCCACTTACCCCTGCTCCTCACTGCTGGGGTTACACATGTGTGCTCCCATGCCAGGCTTTGTTGTGGTTGTTTGTTCATTTTTATGTAGGTTCTGCAGGTCAGCTCAGGTCCTCGTGCTGGAGAAGCAAGCATGTCACTGCTGAACCAGCTCCCAGGATCTGTCCCTGCATCCCTGGTACCGAGTTACAAGCTCCTGCCACTGTGCTCAGTGATGCTCGTCCCCCACGAGTGAGGGGGACGAAGCTCCTTACAGGGCCAGCCCTTTACCAGCTGAACTAACTCAGCACTGTGCGGCACTGGCTGGCCTAAACTCAAAATGTAAACCAAAGCAGCCTCCAGTTTGCAGTGATCCTCCTGCCTCTGCCTTCCAAGTGCTTAGGATGCCTGGATTTCTTTCTTTCTTAAAATAATAGTCCATTAGAGCCAAGCATGGTGGTGTACATCTGTGATCTGAGCACTTAGGAGACCAAGATAGGAGGATTGCTATAAGCTTGAGGCAAGCCTGAGCTACATAGTGGATTTGGGGCTAGCTTGAGCTACCTGCTAAAATCCCATCTCAAAAGTCAAAAAGAAATAATTTATTGAAGTAACAAATATATACAGAAATTTATGTAATTCACAAGAGTTTTCACATCGTTTGCCAGATTTTCATATCACTGTCAGCACTGACATGGAGAGATGGGTCACCAGGAGCATAGCCGCTTCCTTGTACTACTCCGTCCCCTTAGACCTCTCAGAGAGCAGCTGCTCCCCACACCGCGCCAGCTTTGTTTGAGTGCTACTCATTTCACTTTCTTGATCACTCCTGTGGTGATATCCACGTTTCAGAGCAGACTGGGGTCAGCAGGCGGTGGTGCCTGTGTGCCACACCCAGCTTACTGAGGTTTTGTTTGTGTGCGCGTGCATGCTCACAGGTGTGTGTAGGTCTGAAATTGATCTGTGTGTCTTCCTCAGTAGCTCTCCTCTTTATTTATTTATTTATTTATTTATTTATTTATTTATTTATTTATTTATTTATTTATTTATTAGCAAAGTCTCTTGCTAAAGTTGGAACTTGCAGATTCTGGCTAGTCTAGGTAGCAAGCTTGCCCAGGGACCTCCATGCTCTGCCTCTCTGGTGTTGGGATTACAACCAGCTGCCACACCTTTTATGTGAGTTCTAAAGATCTGAACTCTGGTCTGAGGAGTTGAACTCTTGCATAGGCATTTTATCCACTGAGCCTTCTCCCCGACCTGCAGCATGTTTTTATCAATAAAGTTTCATTAGAACACAGGCATTCTCACTTGTTGACATACTGTCTGTGGTTGCTTTTGAGCTGTTTGGTTCAAAGAGACTGTAAATGTCACATAAAGACTAAATACATATCTGGCACTTTATAGAACGGCTCTTCCAACACTGGAATTCCAGACCTGGGTTGACCAGCTATCCAGAAACTTCCCAGGGAAAAATGTTTGCAGTCTTCCTTGTAAGGCACGTAGTGCAAATCAAGAGAAACACAGTTGAAATGATGTTAGCCTGCGGTTGCTGAAATCTGAAGCAAAGGTACCTGGAGAGACTAAGATAATGAGACAGCCCTCAGCCTTCAGCTGGCAAAGGAAGGTGCCAGCCTCCCTTACTCTGGAGTAGTTGGTGACCTATCATATCCTCTGGCACTGCTTTTTACTCCTTAGTTCCAGGCCCTCTCCCTCAGCATCAGTGGATCCTAGCTGGACAGGAAAGACGAGCCTCTGACCCCAGTGGAATTATTCTATTTTTATGAGCTCTAACTGGGCAGTCTGGAGTGGAAGACTGCCAAGGAGTGTTGGGATTGGACTTGAGAGTGTATACCAGGGCAGTGTTGCCTGAAGTCAGCCAGCCTCACATTCCTTCACAGGAACTCTGTCACTGTTCTGAGGAAGTATAACCTCACTTCTTTGCCAGCAGCAGCGCAGACATATTTTCCACATTACTCAAGCTTCTGCTAGTGGCCACCTGGATGTGGCAGAGACTCCAGCCTGAACTAAGATCAACATTATCAGTTGTTTTAATTCATTTCCAGGAAATTAAAACTTACCCATAGTACTATTTGCACATTATCCTTATAATATGAAAAACCAGGCATTTTTTTCTTAACTTCCTTTTGAATATTTTGTTCAGAACTTAAATAGAGCAGGGCTGATAATGTTAAAGTTCTCTGTGGCCGCCTACTTTGTCCTATTTGTGTTAACAATGAACTTGAGTGAAGCTAATGAGGTTATTTTAGTGCCTCAGAAACCGCAGTAAAGGAAAACGACAGTTCCTACAGAACCATAGTGTGACCAAAATAGAAAGGTGATGACTGGCCTCTCTGTAGAAGAGGAAAGGCGGACTCGAAGGCCTGCGGTACCACTTTGAGACATTTGATTTGCTTTTACTATGACAGTCTTCTAAGTATTTTCCTGGCTACTGTAAAGATATAGAACTAAAGATTCCATTTCAAAATAACTCAGAGAAGTAGAGATTTGTTCTGAGTCTCCTCTGCATGCCTCTGCTCAGTGCTCTGGGCCCTGAGTGTTGGGGGACCACACTGCAGGAAAACATGCTTTGGGGGGCTATCTTATATTTAAAGCAAGATGTAGCTAAGACTGCCAGGAAGGTGGCCGGAAAGAAAACTGTTCTGGGGAACCACAGTGAGTAACAGGCTATTCCAGTGACAGCCAGCCACCCAGCAGAATCTTGGAGGGGTTGTGGACCCTGTAGAAGGCTTGGGTGAGGCTTCTTGTTCGAGACTGCATGCCTCTGGTGACTATGGGTCAAAGGAATAGATTACTTGGCTCTGCCCTTTAGTGAGAGCCCTAAAGAAGCTTTGACCTAGCCACCATCTTTTTCTATCTAAGAGAGTCCCCAAGTGTCTGAAAGAGCCAATTCTCTGCCATCACAAAGGGTTCCATCTGCAGAGGATTGTAGAGGAGGCGCACTGTTTATTGATCTTATCTCCTTTATTAATGCCACTGGCAGGAAATACTGGCTGTTCTTCCAAGCTAGCCAACCCTGTCGCATTTCTTTTGGTTTCTGTATGTCCCTCCCTCTTCTTCCATTTCTCACCTCTTGTCAGAGCCCTTGGTGAAAACAGAAGCTAGAAAACAGCCTCGCAATCTGAAAATAAGATCTTCGGCATGACAGATGATCGCCTTTTGCTGCCGAATGGCTATGGACTCATTTGTATAATGAAAATGTATAGCATCCAGGCTCTAGTTAGCAATATTTCTTTCAATTAGATTGCCCAGATTAATGATTTTTAATTCCACGTTTTCTTTTCCTAATTACTTTTCAATGTTATTATAGCTCATATTTCTTTTAAAACTGGGTTAACCCAGAGAAATAAAAAAGATATAATCAGCATTTTTTTTGAGTTAACAAGATTATATTTTATAATTTCCTTAAAAAGATCTCCAGTGTGCTATATGTCAGCTGATCGTATAGCAAGTGTAATGGGTTTTTAAAACTCAACAACAACAGCAGCTGCTATTTCAACTTTAAAATGTCTTTGTAAATAAAGTCATACCTAGGGAAAGTTGTCTACACCTGGCAGATAACAAGAGTCTACACTTTTGTGCTGTGAATGTGTTACCACTGAAGAGAATGTTCTAGATGAAGGAAAAAAAAAAAGCAGAATTGTTATACACACTGCTGATAAATGTAGTGTGCCTGCCTCTAAGAAGACGTTGGCTGCTGGAAGTTCCATGCAGTGCCCTTAGAATTACATTTTTATTTTTATAATTTTAAGAGTTTTCTTTTATTAGACAGTGAACTTCCTTCAGTGACATGTGGAAATTTCCAACTTTGAGAGTTCAGGTATTTGCGTAATTGATGTGCAAAAATAACTTTAAATTACTTTTTGTTACATAGCAACTTAGAATAAATTTTCATAATTCATATTAATCACATCATATATGCCAGATACATAAATGGTTTAATTTGGTTTTTCAGTTATGATGTTCAGGGCAATTCAGATGACTGGTGAACCTGTAAGTGTGGTTAGTGTGCTATATCCCTTGTTCTGCTCAGCTGTATGGAACTTAGTAAATGAAGAGTTGAGAACTTCCCTCATCGGGCTATGCCCAAACAGATCACCATAACCCTTTTGTTGTCATTGGCATAGAACAATTTATTCTGGACAGCTAGCAACCTAGGACAACAAAAGAAAAAGATGTTCCTCCAAGGAAAATTTGTCATCATACACCTGTTAAATGTCAGGGCAGCTCAGCTTTCCCACAGTGTATAGACTCTTTGTGGGTCCTGGCCTGAACTGGTGGCAGTTACAGGTGAGCCTGAAGTTTTCCTGTCATGGTTAGAGAACGGCACCGGAACCACGGACTTGCCAGCATTGGTGGAAGACATCCAGCTTTGTGTCTGCCCGACAGACCAACCTGTGCCCATAGACCAGTGTGTGGTTCCGCTGCTACACGACTTCGTCCTATAACTTCATCCAGCTTTGTGTCTGCCCGACAGACCAACCTGTGCCCATAGACCAGTGTGTGGTTCCGCTGCTAAGCACGACTTCGTCCTGTAACTTCATCCAGCTTTGTGTCTGCCCGACAGACCAACCTGTGCCCATAGACCAGTGTATGGTTCCGCTGCTACACGACTTCGTCCTATAACTTCATCCAGCTCGTATTTTATCTCAGTCAGAGAACTGGGCTTGATCAGCTGTACTCATCTCTCTCTGAAGGCTAACTCCAGCAGCATTGCTTTTACAGTTCACTTGTTATAGCTTGCACTGAGGTTTTAATTTCAACTCGGTGCTTTGTAATTGGGAGGAAAATAAGAGTCAGAAAAACAAACTGTCTTTAGGGATATTTTGGAGGGAGCACATAGTAACTTTGTGTAGGGAGATGATGCTATGTGATGGCCAAGAACCACAGGTTCTGGAGTCTGACTTAATCCAGGTCCTGACACTTCCTGGCCAAGTGACCTTGGAGGGGGGAATCTCATGCCTTTTGACACTGAATTTCTCGTCTATAAATTGGAATAACACTGTCTATATGAAAGATATTGTTAACCCCAAATTGTTGGCTTTCCTCATGGTCGGCTCGTTCTCATTCATTCTCTCTCTCTCTCTCTCTCTCTCTCTCTCTCTCTCTCTTTCTCTCTCCCCCCCCACCCCTATTCTCCCTCCCCGCCTCCCTCCCCCGCCTCTCCCTTTTCTTTCCTTCCTTTCTTCATTTGGTGTGGCAAAGCCAGAAGGTAAAAATGAAGCTTCATGGAAAGAACCCAAGTTTGTTCAGTGTCCAAAACACAGACAAGCGGGAGTTTGGGGCTCACAGATCTCATTCCATGGTGGGTAGGGAAGCCCTGGATTTGGGACAAGTGAAGTGAAGGGGGGGAGAAGAGGAGCAAGGAGGAGGAGGATAAGGAGGATTAATGGGTGACTATGATTAAAGAGCTTTATATACGTGTATGAAAATGTCACAATGGAACCCACTAGTTATGCAGTTAGTTAATGGGAAGAATAGGTCAATGTAGGGAGGAATAGCTATGTTGTTTCTGGGAATGGCAGTTCCCAGGCACTGTCACATCTTCTAGAGTATGGTGATTCTTACCAAGGCAGCCTGTAGGGCGTCACTTAGTATGTAAATTAGATCTCTAAGAACAGGCCTCCAGAGATCACTGTCAGCCGTCTTAGTGCCAGTTGGTTTTGGCTAACCCACCTGAAGAGGAACTTCTGGCCTTAAGACATCCTGTTCCCAAAGATAAACAAGATTAGGACAAGGTGGGAATTCGGCCAGGCCAGTAAGCAGAACACTAGGTAACAATACTGTTAGGAGTAAATGGGAAACACTTAAGAAAAGCATTTGATGTAGAGCTTGAAACTGGGTGTCACTGTTGGAGTTTTTTGTTTGTTTCATTTTTGGTTTGGTTTGGTTTGGTTTTTGAAACAGGGCCTCACTATGAAGCCCTGTCTGGCCTGGAACTCACAGAGGTGTGCCTGACTCTGCCCCTGCCTCTGTCTCTTGAGGCCTGGAATTAAAGGGGTGCACCACTGTGCCTAGCTAGCGTTGAATATAGTTGCCCAATGTGTGTTTTTATTTGAATGCAACTTATTACAGTCACATCATTACAGATTAATAACTGGTAATGCTTGTTTTCCATAAATTCATATATATGTATATTTATACACACACATATATATATGGGGAGGCTTAAACAGGATGTACAAATATGCTAATTCTCATTAAAAGAAGTTAGCAAGATGAATGAATTAATTCATATGAGATTGTGTGTGTGTGCATGTGTTACATGCATGTAAATGTGCAAATGCATATGCACATATGTGGGCATGTAGAAGCTACAGCAGGAGGTTAGATGTCTTCCTCTAGCACACTTAGCCTTATTGTCAGTAAACCAGAAGTCCACTGTTCCTGCTTGTTTGTTTGGTTGAGGGTTGGTTGTGGTCTTTTGGGTAGGCTGGTTTTCTAGCCGGGGAGTTCTTGGGATCTGTTTCCACCCCAGTGCTGATGTTACAGAGATGCACACCTGTGCAAGGTTTTCCCTGTGGGTGCTGGGGATTTGCCCTCAGGACCTCGTGTTTGCAAAGTGTCTCCCCAGCACCCCCTTACCGTTCTTTAGCTTTGCCAACAGGTTTGCAAATGATAGAGCTAGCTAATAATTGTTATACTGCCCTATTCAAAACTTTCATCCACTATGAGTGAATATAAAATAAATGTCAGGGCCGGGCGGTGGTGGCACACACTTTTAATCCCAGCACTCGGGAGGCAGAGCCAGATGGATCTCTGTGAGTTCGAGGACAGCCTGGTCTACAGAGCGAGTTCTAGGACAGGCTCCAAAACTATACAGAGAAACCCTGTCTTGAAAAAACCAAATAAATAAATAAATAAATAAATAAGATGTCAGAGTTGCCACCAATGTCTTAGCTGTTGTATGAGTGCTTTTCTTCTTTGTATCCTGTATGTTTTAGGTGCTGCATATGTCTGCCCAGGTTTGGCCTGCATAGTTCGATTGCTCATTTGCAGACTGTACTTTGAGTTAGTTGTCACTTCTTTCCTGTAATAAATAGAACTCTTTGCACATATTTTTGTCACATTTCTCTCCCGAATTCCCTACTCTACCCTGGTTAATTGTTAGGGGAATTCATCTTGAGATTAGCCATGGTGTAGTATTAAATTCTATTTAATGGTGATTCATCTCAAATTCACTTCATAAGTAGCTTCATATTGGAAAACCAAATCCTATAGATTTGACTAAATGGGGTCTTGTTAGCTTTAAATGTAGGTCTTTGGGCTGCTTTTTCTTAGGTACAAAATCTATCCTGAGCAGAGTGAGTTACAAAGAGAGTTCTTAAGACAAAGGAAGACAAGAAGTCGTAAGAAAACCCTTGGGAAATCTGGAAGTTTTCTATTTCCTCCTGAGTCTAATTTTCAGAACATTGTTTTGTTTTCTTGCACAGTACACAGGTGCACTTTGATTGTTAAAAGTGAACACAGAACTATTTTCAAGATAAATATGCACTTTTGGACTAACCATAAATAGACTTCCTTTGGTTAATGCAGATGAGATGATGGTTTAGACTTAAAAGCACACAATTCCTTTTAGTTATAGGGCCCACTGCCATTTCTCAGACCTTAAATGCAAATGGAATGCCTGTCTTTACGTCTGCTGCCAGAGCGGACTCAGGAAGCATGTGCCTGTATGCGTGAAGGCCTATGGGACAAGGCCATATGGACAAAAATGAAGGAAATCTGTGAGGGATTCAGGACAGTCGTGAAGTGAAGGAGACCGACTACAGGCAGCTACATGATTCATAGGTTGAGTCTCTTTGGAATTACAAATGAAAGCAGTCCATTATCTTTATTTGTGGGTTAGCGTAATTTGGGAATCCATAATAAATTCACATGAATCAAAACTAAACAAAAATCCTCAGTTAAACCACAAGTTTTTAAAATTTGCTTGTTTGGTTTTGTTGTTTGTTTGTTTCTTTGTGGCAGTGTTGCAGTGTAGCCAGGCTGGACTTGAACTCATGACGTCTTCTGCTTCGGCCTCCCCAGTACTGGAATTACAGACATGGGCCATCATGTCCGGTGCTGTTTTTATCTATACTAGTAAGTATGTGAGTGCGTGTGCCCCCGTGTTTGTGTACACATGCAGTGTTCTTCTTCCTCCTCCTTCCTTCTAGTGATGGCATACTATACATACTGCCCCGTGCCTTACTTTTCTCCAACACTAAACCTTGGAAATCGTTACATACCCATTAGGAAGCTTTGCAGACTTTGAAAGCACTTTTAGAATGTCATGAGTCTGTCTACTAGGGTAAAAGGAATTCTTCATCAGTGGATTAAACCTAAGGATTAACCTTGTTACATAATCGGAGTCAAGAGATTGTTGTTCAATAAAAGATAGAGTGAGCAAGTTATTTTATTTAATTAACTTACTCATTCATTTATTTGGTTTTTGTTTGAACTTGTGAACCTCCTTCCTTATCACAAGTGCTAAGCTTAAAAATATGTGCTACCATGATTTATTTGAGGCAAGAGTGAAGAGACACCATGACCATGGCAACTCTTATAAAGGAAAACATTTCATTGGGGCTGGCTTACAGTTCAGAGGTTTAGTCCATTCTTATGGCAGCATGCAGGCAGTCTGGAGAGGTAGCCGAGTTCTATATCTGGATCATCAGGCAGCAGAAAGAGTGAGCCACTGGGCCTGGCTTGGGCTGCTGAAACCTCAAAGCCCACCCCTAGTGACACACTTCAGTAAGGCCACACCTACTCCAAGAAGGCCACACCTCCTAATCCTTTCAAATAATGCCACTCCCTATGAGCCTATGGCGCCAGTTTCTTTTAAACTACCACAATATGTGATACATTTACAGTATTTTTACTGGATATTTTTTATTTTATTTTATTTTAGGTTATTCTAGACAGGTTTCCCTGTGTAGCCCTGGCTGTCCTGGAACTCACTCTGTAGACCAGACTGGCCTCAAACTCAAAGATCTGCCTGCCTCAGCCTCCCAAGTGCTGGAATTAAAGGTGTGCACCACCACACTCGGCTTAAATATTTAATTATTAAAGGTATTTAGTTACCAAAAAAGCAGCCAATAGTAAATACAATTCATAGTAAAATGGATTTTTCCCCCTTTCTGTTTTAGCTAAGTTTGAAAGTGATGCTAACAAATACTGGGACGCATTTTACCAGACTCATAAGAATAAGTTTTTCAAGAATCGTAACTGGCTGTTGAGGGAATTTCCTGAAATTCTTCCAGTTGATCAAAACGCTAAAGAGAAAGTGGAAGAATCATCCTGGGATCAAATCAGAATCATCTTCTCAAGAATGCAGGGAACAGAAACCCATTGTGGAAAAAGCTGTGTCTCCTCAGCCCCTGGGAACAAAGGAAGACCTAACTTTCCCAACCCAGACTTGGAAGAACACAGCGACGACGGGCCTGGGAAGACGGGGCGGTTCCCTGGTAGCAATGCCACTTTCCGAATACTGGAGGTACTGTGTCCGAGGGACAGGACAGGAGGTGATGGAGTGTGAAAGTGTACACCCCACACTATTTTCTGAATGGTCCAGATTGCCCGAGTAGAAGACCAGACCTAATGAAACACTCAGAGTGCTTACACGCATGAGCAGTACTCGGGACTCGCATCTCTCATCAGCCAAGTTTTAACTTTGTGGCTTTAATCTAATTTGTTTACCTTTTTTCCCTTTTAATTTGCTGTAATTTCTAATTTGGAGGCAGTTTTTAAGTCCTGATAAACTTTTGGTCTTAATAGTTGCTCTTTTTTTTTTTAACCCTTTTTGGGGGTGAAATAAAAATAAGCAAGATATTTAGTTTGCTGTAGTATAGTATAGATAGTGGTTTTCCATTTTTGAACCTAAAGGCCGTCTTCCTGATTCTACAGGTAATAGTTGTTGAAGACAGAGAGTTTGCAAGAGCACATAAGAGAGAGAAAGTGACAGCCCACAAACAAGTTATTTAACCACTTGTTCTGCCCTGGGTTAGGCTGTGCGTGAGCTTGGAGACTAGTTAATATCCAGTCATAGGCACTTGTCTGCCTTTAATCGTTCTCTAAAAACGTTTTCATGGCTGTACAGTGTTTCGCAAGTGAGATACCATAATTTTACTTCCCTGGTGTCAAACTGCTGCCATTGTTTTCTCAGCAAATGTCTTTGGGTGTACAGTTTACCTCCATTTCCTTTTCCCATCTTGGGTTAGATTTACTAGTTTATAATATTTGGAAACTTTTAGAGCTCTTAAAGCAGACTTCCAAACTGCTTTCTAAGAAGCTATACTAATAGAACCAGACGTGGGGACACGTGCCCACAGTCCCAGCACTCAGGAGACAGAAACAAGAATATCATACCTGTTCAAGACCAGCCTTCTCTCTTGCTCACTCTCACAAGGGTTTGAACCAAAGGCCTTGGACACGGTGGACAAGAGTTCTACAACCCAGCCCATTTTGAGACAGGGTCTCCCTAAGTTGCCCAGGCTGGTTTTGGACTCACTCTATAGCCCAGTCTTCTTGCCTCGGCCTCCTAAGCTTCCAGAATTGCAGGTCTGGAGTTCCAGAGCCTCTTACCAGCTGTAGTTTGTATTTTTCACCACTCAGTACGCCTCCTGGCTCTTGAGACACTGAGACCCGCATGTTATTTGTGCCCTGTCCCTTCCCTCCCTTTGTGTGTCTACTTTAGGAGTCCTGCCCTTGGTTACGGCTCCTGCAGACACCCCATTGCCGCTGTGCTGTTGCAGTGCATTGTGCTCTTAGTAATCCAGGCAGGAGGCGCTTTGGTGGGCTCCAAATTGTAGGGGTTTCCACAGCCAAACTTCGCTTGTTACTCTTGGGATCTGTTTCTTCTGGCCTTTGAGTTTCACAAGTTCTGCCATCCCCAGAACTCTAGTAATAGTTTGTTTTTTAAAGAGAAAATCCAATATTGTGAGTGAAATGTAATGCATTCACATTTGTTTATTCTCGATTTCAGGTTGGCTGTGGTGCTGGAAATAGTGTCTTTCCAATCCTGAACACCTTGCAGTGAGTTCTAAGTATTTTCCCCTACAAAATCTACATATTTATGGGTGTTGAAAAATTCTGGAAACACCTTGTCATGCCCATGCCAAGAATTCTGAATTCCCATATAAACCATGACTAAAGCAAGTTTCAAAGGACACGATTTTAGTGACTAACATCACATGAACCCGGGAGCGTTCCGAAAAAGCATTCCGCAGCCATGGGTTTGAAGGAGTTTTCAACTTGTGTTTACATAGAAGGCAGAGTGAGAAAAGAGCAAGAGATTCCATCCTTCCACCAAGCTGTGCTTTGCTTAGCGTCAGACATGGTGTGCTCTTCCTGGGTACCAGATGGCACCTCACACAGAGAGCTAGGTTTGCAGCACACACCTCACTCCTCATCTTACGGCATCAGCGTCGCCGGAGCAACGCCCCCGCCCCCCTACCCCTGCCCCCGCCCCACACACAACCTTTGCACAGCAGATCATTGTGCCTGGACTCAGAGTCATCCAGAGTGGTGGTGCTGACCACAAGCAGGGAAGTAGAACTAGATGAGCACAACGCAGACGTCCTCCTTCCCTGCCCTTCGAGGTCACTACCAGTCTTGCCTTGGTGTTCTAGTGTTTCTGTGATGAGGCCACCCCTACAAAACTCTCTATAGCTTTTACCTCCTCTGGTCTCTCCAATCTTGCTTTAGGTTTGCACAATAACTTTCTTATCATTTCCCCCACTAAATTCAGTGTAAGCACATTTCAGAGAGCTTCCATCAGGAGGAGGTGAGGGATCCCCATCACTCTAACACAGCAATTTCCATTCTGCATACATATTTTTTAACTTAACAGTATGATCTTTTTAACTTCCTTTTTTTAAAAGAGCTTTTTTCTTTTTAAGATTTATTTTTATTTATTAAGTATACAGTGTTCTGTCTGCATGTGTCCCTACAGGCCCGAAGAGGGCACCAGATCTCATTACAGGTGGTGGTGAGCCACCATGTGGTTGCTGGGAATTGAACTCAGGACCTCTGCAAGAGCAGTCAGTGCTCTTAACCACTGAGCCATCTCTCCAGCCCCTCTTTTTAACTTTAAATTACAACTATGTAAAAGCATTTTGGAAAGCAAAGAGCAGTACAATGAATTTCCATGAGCCCACCCACCACCGTGATTCAACAATTATTAACATAATGCCAAACATCATGCGGCTTCTGGATTCAGGAAGCATCTCCCAAACCTCAGGCTGTTCTTTGATGCTCTTGGACACCTAACGTCACGGACAATGACGGACAGGGCTTCCCTAGTGTTGTCTACTGGCAGTTGCCGTGGCCGGGCGTGGGGGTGCTGGCGAATGGTGGTGTTCTTACCCTTTGTGTTTATTCTCTTGTCTCCCCTTGCCCAGCATCTAAGATGCAATTTTCTGTTCGCCTGGATCACATGACCAGGTCCCTCCACCCTGGTGACCCCCCACTGGCGAGTGCTTGTGTTACTCTGTGACTGTTCTCAAGGTTTTACTAAGCATGCCATTTTTAAATTTCTTGATTCTCTATTTTGTGTATTCCAGGGAGCCTAACAGTATGATAGAGTAAGAGCTCAATAGGTATTGATTATTAGTTTTGTATTAGTTAGTTGTACTTTCCCTTCTCTTTTCTCTTCCTTCCTTCCTTCCTTCCTTCCTTCCTTCCTTCCTTCCTTCCTTCCTTCCTTCTTTCCTTCCTTCCTTCCTTTTTATGTTTTTCTGTTTTTTGAGACAAGGTCTCTCTGCATAGGCCTGGCTGTCCTCACGCTGTAGACCAGGCCTGCCTCTGCCTCCTGAGTGCTGGGATTAAAGGCGTGTGCCACCATGCCTAATCTTACCTCTCTTCAGTTAACTCATAGTGGAATGTTCTAAGTTCCTACCTCTTCTGCACCCCTTCCCTTCAGCCTTCCCCCTCATCCTTTCCCCCCCTCCTCATCCAACAAGGTCTTGCTACATACATCAGGCTGGTCTCAAACAACATTTTTCTGTCTTCATCTCCCATTACTGGGATTACAAGTGTGCTTAATAACCTGGGGAAATAATTCCTCTTTAGAAGCCCAACAGTGACCAGCCTTCCAAAGGGAGAATTAATGTGTTACACTTTCAGAATGTTTCACCATAATTCGAGTATTGGAATTTTGAGGGGTCAGATCATTCTCCAAGGATCATTTCTTCCTTAAACCTCCACCAGACAGTGTCTGCTGTTGTGGTGGTGGTAGTGACATGCACACCAGTTTCTGGGAGAAGAGCCAAGGCAGTCAGCTGACTTTACAGAAAAGCTCTGGAAGGTCATTGGGTGGTCACAAGGCTGCAGCTTGGGATGCTGATGCAGTCAGAATTCCATCTCAGAGGTCAGGCTGTCTGTCACCTTGATAGGACACATGGCACATGCGTTCCTTGAGCTGCTGGACTGTTCTGGGTCCAGTAGGTGTTCTGTAACTATTCAAAGGTAGATAGCAGACCTTTCATATGTGTTAGCTGGACTAGAGTCCAGAAAGACATTCTGAATTATATAGACACTTTTGGAGGGTCTTCTAAGTTTTAAGTTCCTGGGATGCAGAAGCAGATTTCCTTAAATAAACAAATAAATAATAGCAACAGCTATAATAATGACTGACATCTGTTGAATGCTTGTTTTTCTGAGCCACGAGTCTTTTAGAGACCTTCCCATGTGGATCCATTCAGCCCTCACAACTACCTTAAACATCACACTTATCTCTAAAGATGAAGACACAGAGTCACAGATTAAAAAAACAATCCTCCAGACACATCACTTAGTAACGGTGGAGCCAAGTGTCAGGCCTAGGGCAGCCTGGTTCCAGAGGCCTTCTGTCCTTAGCCACAGATCACACGTGTGTCTGAGTGTGAACTGAGCACATTTCATAGGCACACAGCACTCAGTAGCTTACAGGTCACAGTTACATGGGTTTCATGGAAGATTACAAAGTATATACTAGAATAAAGTACTAAGATGTACTTACTTACTTCTTGCTTTCTTTTTTTGGGACAGAGGCTCACTCTGTGGCCCAAACTGGCCTTGAACATTGAATCTTCTTGCCTCAGCCTCCCAAGTACTTGGAGTAGAGAGTCATGTGCTCCCATGCTCAGCAAAGCATCATTTTTATAGGAGACAAATGAAAAACCAAACCAAATCAAGTGCTGCAATCTTTTACTTTGATTTAGTGCTGGTTAACTTTTCACAGTCAAGTCCTGTTTGTGATACTTCTACTTGTTTGGACAGATCTTAAGTCAAATGCAAACCCTGGTGCCGCAGAATTGATGAATTACATGTGAATTATGGTATTTATCAGCAAGTAGCCTTTAAGAGCATAGCCTAAGTCTAGGCTGCTAAATTTGTAGTTTTGCTTGTATTCCTTATTGACTTAGATGTCCATCTTGCCTGAAACATCTCTTGAATCAAATAAGAGGCTTCATTTGTGCTTCGGACCTCTCTTGACATCCTGCCACGTGCCAGTTTGGACTCTTTAGATCAGTGTTCTTCTTATTACTGGCATGATTCCTACCCTTAAACCCTTATGCCATGCTGATTCTCAGTTAGCAATGCCAACTTGTCCCTGTAAAACTTCCAATACTTAGACACTTTAGGGTGATGGTCCTCTCGCTCCTTCAAAAGTTGTATGAAACTAACCAGCTACACCCCCAAATTTAAAATCCACAAGAGCCAGACCCGTAGTTGTACCTACAGTCACTGTGTAGTGACACACTCACCTGTTTTCAGCCATTCAGACCTTTTCTAAGCAGCATGACACGAAGATGGTTTGATGCAGGCATACAGAGAATGATCACCAAGGCACTGGCCCACAGAATTTGTAGTGTCTGCCTGCCCAAGAACAGTGGAGAGTCCAGCCATCATTTCTGCATTTCAAGTAAAGGCCAAACAGAATGTTTAAGTTTGAAGGCCAATTAAAACTAGTCCAGATTTTCATAGGGGTAAACATTCCTCTGTAAAAAACTTTTTTCTTTTATTAACATACTGTAAATAAGGAAACTGATTTTCAGAAAAGTTAAATCAAATTCATAAGTGGCAAATCCAGGATTCCTAAACAGAGCCGCTTGGCTCCTAAACCCACAATCTCAGTATTTGAATTAGGAAGCTTCATTTCCAACTTCATATTCTCATGTTTGGTATATATATTAGGTTCAATAAATGCTTGACAATAATGTGAAAAGATATCCAAGAATTTGTGTATTAGAGTTTGATTCTCTTTTAGAAATTATGTTTATGCCATGATAAAATTATTTGTGCTTCTGCTCTGCCAGAGCCTCAGAGCACCTGTCTGGAAAGGTTCAAAAGCCAAACAAGTTGCAAATATATAAGAATGAGAGGCACAGGGTTCTGAGGGGCTTCGAGAAGGCAGAGCTGGGCATGCTGGGCACAGGGGTGAGCAAGGAACAAGGTGGGAGGGTAGGCTTAGAAATTTCCACGTGGGGGGAGGGTAAGACATAGGCAGGTGCTCCTTCAACACAGGACAAGAGTTTCCAAGTTACACTGTGGTGATAAGTGCTTGTCACACCTTCTCTGATTTGAACATGTCTGACTCTGGATTTAAATGTCTTTTCCATTTGCATAGGAACTTTCCAGGATCCTTTCTTTATTGCTGTGATTTTGCTTCTGAAGCCGTGCAGCTTGTAAAGGTATGCCTTATATAAAGAGAGGTGTGGGCTGAGGAGATGACCATCAGTGAAGTACTTGTCAGGCAAGCAAGAAGACCTGAGTTCAGACCCCTAGTACCCTTGTTAAAAAGTTGCCATGGCAGTGTGAGCCTGTAGTTCCAGCCAGGCAAAGCCAACCTAGACAAATCACTGAGCTCAAGTTCAATGAGAGACTCTGCCTCAAAACACAAGGTAGAGGGCAATTGAAAAAGATAGCCGGTATTGACCGCTGACCTATACACATACACACACACACACACACACACACACACACACACGTCCACAAACACTCAAACACACACATGCATACACAAGCATGTATACACACATAAATTAAAAATAAAGAGAGAGCCAGGTGGTGGTGGCACCCACCTTTAATACCAGCACTTGGGAGTCAGAGGCAGGTGGATTTCTGTGAGTTCTAGGCCAGCCTGGTCTACGGAGTGAGTTCCAGGATAGCCAGGGCTATATAGTGAGACCCTGTCTTAAAACAAAACAAAACAAACCCAAAAACTAAATAAAGGAATAAATAAATAGAGACTTTGAAAGTCCTGATTTGAGAAGCCTGAAGAGATTGGCTTAGCAGTTGAGAACACTGGTTGTTCTCCCAGAGAATTCAATCCCCAGCACCCATATGGGGCTCACAACTGTCTCTTACTCCAGTTCCATGGGGTCTAGCACTGGCTTCTCAACTCAGTGAGCATCAGGCAGGCACATGATGCATAAACATATACACGGGCGAAACACCCGTATACATAGAATAAAAAAACAAATTTAAAAGGTCTAATTTGGGGACTGGAGAGATGGCTCAGTGCTTAAGAGCACTTGCTGCTCTTCCAGAGGACCCAAGTTCAATCCCCAGCTCCTACCTGGTGGCTTACAGCCATCTGTAACTCCATCCTCAGAGGATCTCATATCCTGTTCTGGCCTCTGAAGGCACCAGGCACAGACATGCATGCAGGCAAAATGCTTATACACGTAAAAATAAATTAAAACAATTTTTTAAAAGATCTTGTTTTTCAAATGGTCTGTTTGCTTTTGAAGTGATTGATTCTTCTGAAATGTTTCTATATCAGGTGCATCTATGATGATATTTAGCTGAGTTTTTGCAATTTCTGGAAGTTATTTCAAACGATGTCCAAGTATAATATTACCTATACAGGATGTCTGCTTTTAACCTAAAACAGTAGAAGTTGTTTTGAACTTAAGAGAGTGTCACAGCTGGATGGATGGCTCAGTGGTTAAGAGCACACACTGCTCCTGCAGAAGGTCAGAGTTTGGTTCCCAGCACACTCTTGCATAGACTCACAACCACCTATCCCTCTAGCTCCTGGGGTCCAACACCGTCTCACCTCGTGCACAAACCCACATACATATATACACAATTAAAAATAACAATCTTTTCAAATTCAGACTGTACACATGTTCATGAATGAAAGTCCAAAGGATACCAATAACATTAGTCGAGATTTTAACAACTACCTACCCCAAACTTAATGTTTTAGTCAAACTACAAGAAGCCCTCATTCATGTCTGTCTCTAACACCTCACACACAGTCTAGCACATAGTAGGCACTCGTTAAATTGAATTTTTTGAAATAAGAAAATCTAAGAAACTGTAAGGAAAGCAGCCAGAACCAGGGTACGAATCCTGTACGAATCCATGATTGCCAGTTAGCCAGTTAGAATGAAGAGACGGTCGGTCACAGCAAATGGAAAGTGGAGAGGCATTCTGTTAACAAAGAGTGGGGGGAGGGTAAGACATAGGCAGTAAAGGATGTGCCTCACGAGCCTGAGGACCTGAATTCAGATCCTCAGAACCTGGATGGGAAAGCTGGGTATGGTGATGTGTGCTTGTGATCCCAGCCCTGGGCTGGCAGAGGCAGATGGATCCCTGGAGTTCATGGCCAGCCACCCTAGCCTATTAGACAAGTCCCAGGCCAAGGAGAGACCCTGTCTCCAAACTAAGATGACCTAAACTTGAGGAAAGACAGCTGAGATGGTTCTGTAGCCTCCGTACACACGTGTCCACTTGCACATGCATGTGTTCCTGTGCACACAAACACGTAACTACAAACAAACCAAAAAATGTTGTGTTAAATATGGACGTTAAAAAAGCTTTTAAAAGTTAACACTGGCTGGGCCAGGGGTGGCATACACCTTTAATCCCGGTACTTGGGACAGAAGCAGGTGGATCTCTAGTTTGAGGCCAGCCTGGTCTACAGAGCAAGTTCCAGGACGGCCAGGGCTACACAGAGAAAAAGAAAAACAAGTTAATACTGAAAGTTAATTTTTGACAATAGTAGTATTTGTTACAGACAGTTCCTAAAATAAAGGAACTTCCGCATATTGAAGAAGGCAAGTATACCAGTCATCACATTTCCCAGGATGACATGGTGGTTTGATATCTTTCCTTCCACTGTTGATTCTGCAGACAAAATAGCCTTACTGAACTGCATCCCATTCAGATGGACAAGAGAATGAATTTTAGTAGTAGAGCTGTGTGGCCATCACTGTTACCTAATTTTGGATATGTAGCCGAAGATGTTTTGTATTTTAAGGAGAAGGAAACATGGAACACAGAGCAGTGGTACTCGTGAGGACCATCTTGGCACTTCTCAAAGAACACGGGGCTGGCCTTGAGCAGCAGTCCCAGCAGACCCAGAGCCCACTCCACTCCATTTCCAAACTGACAGAGACTGTGGGAAGTGTTTGCTGTCAAGTCCAAGTGCTTCCGGCTTAGTTTCTGTTTTCTTTTTGTTGGTTGGTTGGTTTTTGGTTTGGTTTGGTTTGGGAGGGGGGTTGTTGTTGTTATTGTTGGTTTTTTGTTTTTAAAGACAGGGTTTCTCTGTGTAGCCCTGGCTGTTCTGGAACTCACTCTGTAGATCAGGCTGGCCTCGAACTCGAGAGCCACCTGCCTCTGCCTCCCAAGTGCTGGGATTAAAGGCACATGCCACCGCTGGCTTTGTTTTTGTTATTTTAGGACAGTTTGAAGTACAGTAACAGAGTACTGAACTAGAAATGAAGTTTATTAAGTTCACAGAGGCAAGACGCTTGGGAGAAAAATGTTAATTTTCATTACATTTATTTATTTTGTGGGGAGGGAATAGACATGCCAGGGGGCTCACGTGGAGACGAGAGGACAATCTGGGGGAGTCGGTTCTCTTCTTCTACCATGTGGGTCCAGAGAGCAAGCACCTTTCCCCCAAGGCCGTCTCACTGATTCAGGAAAGGATTTTATAAAAATGACCTTTATTTTAAAAAAAAGGTATAAAATATAAGGAAAACAACCCCCCCGGAAGTCTGCTAACCCCCACTCTGTATTCCTTCCCCGTGACAGTCACATGCATCCTACACTGAGGCCCGCTGCTCTGCCTTTGTTCATGATGTGTGCGATGACGGCCTCGCCTACCCTTTTCCGGATGGGGTCCTGGACGCCATTCTCCTTGTCTTTGTGCTCTCCTCCGTTCACCCTGGCAGGTAAACGAAGACTAAAGGGCACAGCTAATGTGTGAAGATCCTTTAGCAGCCGTGGTTCTCAGAACTATCAAAGCAAAAGGGACAGTCCCCGACTGGATTATCTAGTGAGCTCCGTTATGTTTAACATGCAACCTTTTCAGTGCAGCTTCTCCTTTCCTCCCACTCTCAGAAAGGAACTGGTCAAATGCTTCATTAGTGAGCGTTCTGTCACTATCAGAATGAAGTGAGTATGTTCTGGCAAGACACATACCTATTAAAAGTGACAGCACTTCAAGGAAATTACACATGCAGAACAGCCTAATAGACTCCCAGGAGGGAGATTGTACTAGGTGATCAGAAACAAACATCTTTGATTTAGCCTCATCTTAAGTGTCTGGGGAGAGGTGGGCTGCAGTCTGCGTGGTTTCACGCAGGTCCAGTGAGGGGCTTGTGTTTTAAAGAAGCCTGCTGAGGAATCATGGCTATAGTGATTTGACAAAGTGGGCGTGCTTGGACCTGTAGGGGCTAAGGTGGATCGAGAGCCATGATTGATTTGTGTGTGTGTGTGTGTGTGTGTGTGTGTGTGTGTGTGTGTGTGTGACTGGGAATTAACCTTAGGATCTTGCACATGTCCGGCATGTGTTCTTCTGCAGAATGTCCCTCACCCCTTAAGTATGACTTACGTTTTTATGCTTACATGATATTGGTTTTCATTTTTGATTTTTTTTGAGAAAGAGTCTCACTGAATAGCCTATTCTGACCTTGAGCTCTCTATCCAGCCCAGGCTGACCTCAAACTCCCAGTGACCCTCTTGCCTCAACTTCCCCGCTGCTGAGATGACAGGCATGCACCACCATGCCCACCCATGGGACTTGTGCTTTCATGAGAATCTCACAGCCCGACAAGAGGGACAGGTCTGCATCGGATTCTTTCTGCTCCTAGTGTAATCCCTTCCCACAGAAACGTGAGTCCTGCACACGAGGACCTTTGCTGGCTTTTTAGTTCCCGTTCAAAGTTGAGCACTTTACTACTCAGTGAGGGAAAATTTGATTCCCAGATTAATCAAAAAGAGAGTTATATTTATACTTGATGCATAGATTAGGTTCCACTAAGCCACTTTCCCTTCACCATTTCCACAATGTATTTCTTTTCTGATAATATGTTCATCTGTTGGCACTACTGCAGAAGAGTCAAAATGTCAGCTCTAGGCTTTGCTTCTGTGTATGAATAGTTAAAAGGATGATGTAGGTGATAAAGAGCAAGATTTCCTATTTCCGTACTTAAAACAGGAAATGCATAGATTCTAAATAAGACTGCAGAAAGACTATTTGAGATTGGTTCTGATCATGTATTTTATTGTGATTTGAATTGAATATTAGTAAAAAGGGGAAACATATCTTACGATGATTACCTTTATAATATTCACTCTGTTTATTATAAAATGAATTCAAATGTCTCGTGTCAATACAACTTTTTTGCCTATATGGAAATGATCTAAAAATGAGGTGAATGATCTGGGTGTGGTGATGCACACACATGGTCCCAGCTACTTGGGTGGTTAAGACACAATGTCTCTGGAGCCTGGGTGTTTGAGACCAACCTGGACAGCACAATGAAACCCCACTTGAGTCATTTTAACTAAATAAAAGTGAGGTGAGCCAATAGAAGAGAGGCAATCAAAAGAGATAGTTTAGCAGTGTCTTTAGGATCATTTAGGACTATAACTGTGAATGCTCATCCAAGAAAATCCTAGAAAAGTAACTCATTGGCAGCAGAAACAAGGAAATAGCAAGTAATTCAGCTAGATCCTGAGTCTGAGGATAGCACTTTAAATGGAAATAATTCTGAGAGGCTACAGGAGGAGCTAACTGTCTTTCTGGTCATTGAAAGAAAATGTAAGATACACACTAAATAAAAGCAGAGTGGGGAGTCGGCAAACTGGAGAATTCTTGTTTCTCTGTCTTAATCTCTTTTTTTTATTTTAATTTTTGTTTGTTTGTTTGTTTGTTTTCCTGAGACAGGGTTTCTCTGTGTAGGCCTGGCTGTCCTGGATGCTCTGACCAGACTGGCCTCGAACTCAGAGATCCACCTGTCCCTGCCTCCCAAGTGCTGGGACTAAAGGCGTGTGCCACCACTTGCCTGGCTGCTTTTTTTATAATTTGGCAGAAGCTGGATTTCACCCCACTATTCTACTAAATGTAATTTTTAAAAATTTTTTAAATTATGCGTGTGTGTGTGTGTGTGTGTGTGTGTGTGTGTGTGTGTGTGTGTGTGTCGGGGGTGGGTGTCTGTCTTTCATACTTACATGGGTTCCAGGGATCCAACTCAAGCTGCCAGGCTTTTGTGGCAATGCTTTTACCTGCTGAGCTATCTTGGCAGCCATGAATGTTGTTTTAAATGAAAGGAATTTATAAATTACCTGAGCTAACCTCATCTTTTCGAAATAAGAAAGCCTCAGCAACTTTAAGTGGCTTAGGTAAAGCAGAGGCCGAGCTGGGTGTGGTGGCTTACGTATGTAACTCTAGCACTCAGGAAGCTGAGACAGGAGGACTGATCCATGTTCGAGGCCAGTCTGGGCTACATAATGAGTTCCAGACCACCTTGGGCTACGGTGTAAGATCCTGTCTTAAGACACAAAATCAAATAAACAAACAAAAAAGAGACCGCAAAGACTTGCCCTGTAGGCTGCCATTTCCCCTCCCTCCCACAGCGGGCAGTGGCCATAGCTCTGTACCCTGACTGTCATTCCCTGTGGGCTCCATGAGCCCTCTCCATTGGCGCTGTGGGCAGCCAGTGCCTGTCCCTCACCATCAATAGAAGACCTGCCTCATTCTGGTCCACAAAACAGAGACCATGAACACAGAACCCAAAATACCACATCAAGATTTACTTTAAGAGTCGTATTTGATTGCATGCTCCAGAAGCAGGATAAGGAATTAACAAGAGTAAAGCCAGAGCCTCCTGGTGTTGAGCTGGAATTGAGATGTGACTACAGTCGAAAGAGGCCAAGAATAAGGAAAAAGGAGCTTTGTCTTTGAGAGGAAGTCATATACACAAAGGCCTGCACAGGCCACGGAGGCCATCGTGCCATCGTGTTTGGTTAGGAGAGAAGCTTTGGTCAGAGCAGTAGAAACGCCATTGGAAGAAGTCATCTCAGAACCCTGTAAGAAAGAAAACTTGGCCCTCCAGATTAAAATCATGAAATTCTTTTGACAATGAGGTGATTTTCCAGGACCATTGTTTGATGTCAGACAACTCATTGCTTTTATCCACAGAGAATTAACAAGAAGGACATGTAGTGTATTGGGAAGTGATTCTGTTTCTGGGCTTGGGGAGGTAATTGTCCCAAGGAACTGCCGGGGGGGGGGGGGGGGGGGGGGGGGGGACAGGAAACAGCAAAGGGAAGGGGGAGGTGCAGGAGGGGGAAGAGGAGGAGGAGGGGGAGGAGGAGGAGGAGGAAAATTGAGTACATGGATAGGATAGTGAAAGAAAAGAAGAATGACCCCTGCATCCTGAGGGGAAGAAGATGGGGGTTGAGGAGATGACTCCGCAGCTCAAGTGCCTGCTGTACACAGCTGAGGACCCCAGTTCAGACTCCCAGAACCCGCGGAAACCCAGACAGCGTGGGTGCAGCCTACAATCCTGTGTCCAGGAGGCAGAGACAGGAGCCGGGAGCAAGGTGGCCAGTTAGGCTCGCTGAACGTGGGTTCCGCGAGAGACCCTGCACAATGTCAGCTGTGGGCTTACACACGTGTGTGAACATGTATGTGCATACTCAAGAGTACTAGACATACACATGCAAAAGGCAGGCAGGCAGGCAGGCTAGGAGAAGAACTAACGTGGAGGAAAGATGACCCGTTTCGCTGTGTGAATTTGGGATGGCTCTGGCATGTCTTATTCGGCAGAAAATGGCACACCTTTACCTTTATCTCTTACCGTATTTAATGGAAGAGACATAAGTGGACGGGTGGGTGAGTTGTCGGTTTGGTTTGTGTGAGACAGGGTCTCACTACGTGGCTGAGGCTGGTCTGGAATCCACGATCCTCCTGCCTCAGGGTCTGGGATTGCAGATTTGTGGTTTGCAGTTGAGCTTTTGAATTTGGTTCCTTCGGATACAAAATGCTTTTTTTTTTTTTTACTGTGGTTTTTTGTTGTTGTTGTTGTTGTTTGGGTTTTTTGTTTGTTTGTTTGTTTTTTGTTACATGTATGATTTCTTTGGCTTACTTTGTTTTCCAAGGATGCAAGCTGTTGTCCACCGACTCTCCAGGTTGTTGAAGCCTGGGGGAATGCTGTTATTTCGGGATCATGGACGATACGATAATGCTCAGCTTCGTTTTAAAAAAGGTAACAGGGGCTGAAAGGGTGGCTCAGTGGTTAAGTGCTCTAAAGAAGATGGGAGTTTGGTTACAGCACTCACACCAGGAAGCTCACAACCGCCTGTAGCTCCAGCTCCAGGGGATCCCATGCCCTCTCTGGTGTCTGCCCACACACATGTGCATGTACCTATATACTGACACATATATACATAATTTAAAATAAAGATACAATTTTTAAAAGGTAATAGTATATTGAGTTCTAAGTTATTTTAATGTGTTTTTGGACTATAAAAATATTTCATGTCAAATTATTTTGATTTATCTTGTTTTTGAAGGAACTATCAAGTTTTTCTTTTTTCTTTTTTAGGGCGTTGTTTATCTGAAAATTTTTATGTCCGAGGAGATGGTACCAGAGCCTATTTCTTTACAAAAGGTATGCTGATCTATTACCCAAGGTAAATAATGAGCTATGAAAACTCTCCTCAAGTAATTATTTGCAGGGAGACACTCAGACGCTGTGAGCACCAGGCCTCAGTGGTGATTCGGCACCGGATGTCTTCATGGCCTGGTGCTCACAACACTTCCACATAAAAACGTGCAAACAGCCTTTGCCTTTTCATCGTCTTCCAGTTAGAATTACTTTTAAAGAAAGAGTCACTTGTTTCACTCTTATATTAGAGCAAAGGTTCAGGGTGTAATTTTGGAGATACTGTTAGCCTTGATATGAAAAAAAAATTGATAGTATGCCACAGCCACAGGAAAGAATTTTATTTTTATAAGTCTAAAGAAAATTAGTTCTCACTAGTCAATTTCTTGTCTTAAACAAGTGCTTCTGACAATACCAAGTGAATCCTGCATCCAAGGGCCTCCCCAAACTTAATAGAGCCTTTTATAATATGTAGTCTTGGGTTGTAAAACAGAGGCCCGTGAAGGAGGCACAGTTCAAACTATTGAAAGCCCTAGCCATAGCTCAGCTCACGATAATCTACCCTGGTCCTGCTGGCCCTGTCCTGTCAGCCTGTTCCCACTCGCAAACGGGGGAGATAAGATTGCCGCACTTGGTTTCCTTCACCTAGCTGTACAGTGCTTCTTGGTGTAAACGAAACTCAGATGAACAGTCCTGCATGGCACCCCATTGGTCCTTCCCTCCCTGTCCCCGTCACGTGCTGTGTCTTTGACTGCCACCTTTGCCTCAAAGGGGAAGTCCACCGTATGTTCTGCGAGGCTGGATTACATGAGAAGCAAAATCTGGTTGATCATCGCTTGCAAGTGAACAGGAAAAAACAGGTGGTGATGCACCGAGTGTGGGTTCAAGGAAAATTCCAGAAACCGCTGCACTGGACTCAAAGGGGCTGAAGGGAGCATTTCATGTCCCGGTAAGGTATGAAACCAGGGTGTGCTGTTGTTCAAGGCTGCTGCCCATAGACAGTGAGAAGAGCAGCTGTGGCCCTGCTGCTCTGTCGTCTGAGCTCTTTGGACAGTTTTGTTCATGGAGTGACTTGAAAGAATGTCCCAACCTCTGTTTTCAGAACTTGAAATGTATGTTTGTTTGGTTTTGTTTTGTCTAACCATGTTCCCTTGAATCTTATGACTTTGAATTAAATTACTGATGTAAGGCATATAGTTTTGAGAAATGCAACCTGTCCGCTTTTTAGAAGTGGAAGAGATTATCTTCTTCATTATTGGGTGTGGCGAAGCATTCCCAAACAGTCAAACCGCCCTCCATTGTCAATCAGTAGCAGAGGCACAGCGTGCCTTGTTTTTAGGGGAACTTACAAGCCCAGGATGAAGGTTTCTTGTTTTTGTTTCATTCTATTATATTTTCTACAACCCCCCTTTTTATCCCCTCCCCATACTAATGTCTGAAATACAATTTTAATTTCTCTTCCTTTCCAAAAATGAGGAAGTGTGGCCCTTGTTAACTCATTCTCCGGCTATTCTTAGATGTGCAGGTCATCGCTGAGACAGTCATGCTGTGGTGGTTAGTTTTCATTGCCATCGTGACACAGTCTGGACTCTCCTGGGAAGAGCCTCCAGAGTGTCAGTTGCCTGTGAGTTTGTCTTAACTGTGTTAATTGATGTGGGAAGACCTGCCTACTGTGGACAATACCATTCCCTGGGTTTTGGATCCTGAACTGAGTAAAAATGGACAAAATGAGCTGAGCCCTGGCATACTTGTGTTCTTTCTTCTCTGCTCTTGACTGTGGATGTGACCAGCTGCTTCACGTTCCTGACTTCCCTGCTGTAACCTGGTGGACTGTAATCTGGATTTGTGAGCTAAAATAAACCCATTCTCCCCTAAGTTGCTTTTGTTGGAATATTTTTTTTTTATTGTATATGCATGGGTTTTGCCTGAATGTATGTCTGTATACCATGTGCATGCCCAGTGCCTGCAGAGGCCATCAGTATCTCTGCCTGCCAAGGATGTCTATTGTGGAATAATCTTTTTGTACACTGTGAAGATGTGTCATTCTGATTGGCTTAATAAAAATCTGAATGGCCAATAGCTACTCAGGATTTTCAGGCACACAGGAGGCTGGGAAGAGAAAGGGGGGAGTCACCAGCCAGAGGGAGAGGAAGCAGGATGAGGAGTACAGAGTAAAGGTAACTGAGCCACATAAAAGAATGTAGATTAAAAGATATGGGTTAATTTAAGTTATAGAACTAGTTAGGAACAAGCCTAAGCTAAGGCCAAGCTTTTATAATTAATAATAAGTCTCTGTGTTATGATTTGGGAGCTGGCTGACAGGACAGAGAAAGACTTACTACAAATGACATCCAACGTGGTATCACATATATCCACATAAGACCTGGGAAAGCTTTTTTTTAAAAAAAAAAAAAAGTTCTAAACACACAAGAATGAAGCCAAGGCAGTGTCCCAGTCTTCCGCCTCTCATGCTGGCCATGGTGCAGAGAGTGAGCCATGAGCTAAGCTGCACAGTGGTTTAAAATTTTGCTCATGCAGACAGAAAAGGTTACCGATACACAGAAAACAGGTTCAGACTGAAAAAAATCTCTAAACAGGTTACAGTGTGTTTAACAATGTGTGTAGGCTTAAGAAAAAGAAAAGAAAAAGGATATAGACAGTCATAAAAACACATAACTAAATAAGTATAATAAAGTCTTTAAAAAGTAATTAAAAAATAAAGAATAAGCCACATAGAGATGGGAAATACACAGGAAGTATGGATCCTATATGTTATTGTGTTGTCTTTCAATTTTTTTTTCTGATTGCTGGTAAACAAACTATAGCTGCAGAGAGACATTGGACTTGAAAACTGCTAAATTAAACCAACCTATATATTTTTAAGAATGTCTTAACTTCAAAATGGAAATCCGACAATGCGTTGCATTAGAGGAGAGGTTATGCTTTTGTTTCCAGAGGAAATGAAAATCTGTGGATTCCTTCCAGATTAACAGAGGTCAGATCTGACTGGGGCAGACCTCCTGAGTATCTTGGCTACAGACATGGGGGAGGAAACCAAAAAGACTACAGGACAGGTGGTGTGTAAGCTGATCCCTTGACATGGGAACAGCTCTGAGATGAGATGAGACATGATAAATCTTGTTGGCTACAGAGTCCTCATGACTTATTTTTACATGCCACCCTTTCATATGGTATGGGTAGAGATTTATATTACAATTTGATTATACAGTCCAAATGGACTTAGAAAGTTGACAGATGCCTTTTACTTGCTCAAACATAAAACAAAAAGTCATCTTTAACTGACTTATGCACACTGCACATTCCATTCTTGTGTTAATGCAGATATGTATGTTACCTTTGAAAGTTTATGTGTTTTCAGAACAAGGGAACCAGACACCAATGAAAACAGATGGCCCAGGTGATCCAGCCTCTCAGAGTGCCTCTGTTGCAGTTTCCTCAGAGTTCTGCATCCAGATCAGCTTCAAGGCTGATGGCCGAGATGGTCCAGCCTCACAGATTACTCCAGTCTAGACTTCAGAGAAGCCTTGCACTTTCCAGTTGCACAGAGACTGGACAACAAATAATACATCTAGCTCTCCCAGGACTTCACT